GTTTACAAACTTCTGGGGCATTCCTTGGTGGGCAAGCGTCTCAAGAAGAACAGACCGATCAGCCGAGTCGAATGCGCCTCGGAAATCCAGGAATAATAGAATTGTGGGTCGCTTATACGTATGGCGTTGTTCTAGCACCTGACGCAGTGTGAAGATTTGGTCAACACAACCCCTACCAGGCCGGAATCCCACTTGCTGCTCTCGGGTCATTATCTCACGAGCCACCGTAAGGCGACGAAGCACAATTGACGCCAACAATCTCGTTACAACCGGGGTCAAGCTGATCCCCCTGTGGTTACCACACTCGCTACGCGACCCTTTTTTGAAAATGGGAAATGTTCAGTAACCTTATACTATTGTCGACAAAACGACATCGGGACTTCAGAAAATCTGTTGTAAATGTATAAACCATGGATTTTATGTGTGATTACACCTACTCACTAGCTTTGACGCTCCCGATCCCCACCGTCTCCTTAAGGGAACCACTTTCGCGCTGTAATTTTAACGTACAATTCCAATTTAATTCCATATCGTGCCCACAAATTGATGGAGTCGCCATGGGCTCTCTTCTTTGCTTTCTATTGAGTGACCTTTTTATGGGTAACCTGGAGTTTGGTCAATATACATGGGAGACTAGACGACTTTTATCGACGGTACGTAGGTGATAGACGCTCTCCTGATCAACCTCAACCGAGCACATTCCATTCAGTTCACTTCTGAAACTGAAAGTGACGCTAAATTGGTCAGACTGTCCATGGGTTCAGAGACTGACGGGACAATATACAAACTTCTACAGGTTTGTACCGCTGAGGCAGAAACGAACCGTGATTTACACTTGACCGAACCGAGCGAGGCGATTTTTATCTACGGACACAATTGATTTTGAAGTGAAGCACATTGCTAACATGTACCGAGCCAACGGTTATTCAGAAAGATTCATAGCCAGGAAAATGGTCGAACATTCTGTCCAACCGTCGGTCACGACCGTTGTAAAGGAGCCAATCTACTTGAGTCTCCCCAATAAGGGCGATCTGTTGGCAGACATACTCAATGGCCGCCTGTCTCACTCCTTACAACGCAACTGTGCGATATTGGTTTACAATCGACCCTTAGCTCAACTTGAACCTCAAAGACAATATGCAAGTTCTCACTCAGAATATGGTCCTTTATTCTTTCTTTTGTTGCCGTTCAGTAGAATATGTTGGGCGCACGACATGGTAACTTGCTAAGAGAATGCGTGAGTACCTCTCCTGCCGGAGCATCACTAGACTGAACGGTTCAATAAAAAACTCAACCGCGTCTCACATAACCGATAACGGCCACGTGATCGATGCGAACGAGTCGTCTCACGTCATCTACCGAGTACCCAATAGACTGCCTGTATCGATCCGACGGTGTTGCTGGACTACACAACCGAAGCAGTCGCAATACGTTTACGAAGCCCGATGCAGCGCTGCCAAAAACGATCCATACGATCTCTGAGTGTACCTTGGTCAAGTGACACCTATCGACTGACCAAGTAGCCCAACGGCTCTCTAGATTGTCTCACAGCATCGAGTTAGATGCGGCGTGAGGTGCGCCGAGAACACCAACCAACCTTAGTGGGTTATTCCATTATTCGCCTCTATTTTAACTATTATATAGGTACTGACCTGGTGACGAGATCCCAAAGACATTAATGTTTGTCGTTGTTTTTGTTCAAATCATGCGAATATCCAAGCGAATGTACATACAGAATGTAGCGCTAACTGCATAAGTGAGCTTGTTGCTAGGCCGCTTAAGCCAAGAGGCGCCCAACTATCATAACTCAATGAACATACCCCGTGCAGCCAAACTTTTGTCTTACTGCATTCAAAGCCGAAAAATGTTCACTGGGTGATGATGAGTTTTTGTCCGGTAGCACTCTGTAATGGGTTCCAGTAGGCAGACAAATAGACAAGCCCAGGCATCGCAGCTCAGTACCTTTCTAGCATAGATGTTGGGTCGTTATTCGTTAGTGTGTCGTTCCATGCGGACGTGTAAAGGTCTACGGGGAGCTCTCCCATGAGTTCACCACATCAAGTGGTATCAGGCGGGGCTGTCCTATTTCACTTTTGCTCTTCAAACCGGTCATGGGTACGATTATGGAAAACTCACTATCAGCTTCTAATGTCTGTGGGGTCGAAGTGCTCCCAGAACGTTCTTTCACGGATATAGAGTATGCAGATGACATAGCTCTTTTTAGATCTGACGCAGTGGTAATGCAAACAATATTAAGCAATCTAAATAATTCTGCCCTACGGGTTGAAATGCGCTTCACATCTGCAAAGTGCGAAGTGCTATTGTATGACTGGATTGGCTTGAAACCTAACCTCGTGCTTGAGGATAAGCCGACTGAGGTAGTAGACAAGTTTGTTTACCTGAGCAGCTGTATCAGTCCCGGTGGTCTCGCGAAAGGCGATATTTCGATCCGAATTGGGAAGGCCAGATCAGCTTTTGTGAACATGCATCACCTGTGGTGTAGGCGTGATGTCAGCGTATCTATCAAGAGTCGAATTTACCATGTTGCGGTGTGCTCCATATTACTATACGGATCAGAAATCTGGCCACTGCGTGCCGGGGATGTCAAAAGACTTTCGGTGTTTGACCATCAATATCTTCGGAGCATTGCCCAAGTCTGGTGGGAACACCAATTCAGGAATGCTGAAGTACGTCAAATGGTTTTCGTAAGAAATAACTCATCCACGATAGATAAACTGATCACACTGCATAGGTTGCACCGGTTCGGCCACGTGCTTCGTATGTCAGTCGACCGACTTTCTCGAGGGGCTCTTGTCGCACAACTGCGCGAAGGGTGCAAACGAGCCACGGGAGGCCAAACAATGACTTGTCAGCGGAGTATGAAAGTCATTACCAACAGACTCAGCTGGGCATCGGCGAATGGGGACACAGGACAACGGAGCAACCAATGAAACCGCCCGACCGAACCACTAATCGCGATCAAAGATCATCCCCTGCTAGCAGCACGTATATTAAAAAAATCGTACAGCTGTAGCGCCCTTTCGGTGCCTAACTGCCATGCCACCCGAAGGTTGCACGAGGGCTGGGATACTGCCAGGTTGCCCAAGCCTAGGCAGGGGAATTCGAGAGGCAGAGGTCGGGTTCGAACCACGGACCTTTCGATCAGTAAATTCGCGCTCTAACCACTTGGACCATCTCGCCCACGTTTATTAACACACGCGTAACACTACTCAACGCACAACCACCAACCCCCCGCTACGCACCACTACACTCCCCAATAACGCACTGATGATGTCACCTCACCTCGGTTGGTGATGAAACGTTTGCAATCAAATTGCCCAGCTCAGCGAACAAGCCAACGACCAAACTCAGCTGCGTTAGTCATTGCTGTTTTCCTGGATGGGCACCCGAATCGGGACAAATCAATGGTTAGAGACATTGTCAGACATGGCCCAGTCGCGCCCTCAATGGCGCTCTTGCATCACAGCCATTGCCTTCAGTGCATAGCTGTCTTCCCAATCTCCCCAATTGGAAGTCCATTGATAACCCTGTTTTATGCATCAACTGTATCAGTTCCCGCCTCCAATAAGCAACTACCTACTCCACCTCCCCAAATCATCGGTGAGGAAAACCGCGGCAGCTGTTACAAATATGCGGTTCTTACGGCTGATAATGATGATAAAGTGCAAATTCGATATTTCCAGAGGCTGTCGGCATCATCATCATCATCGCGAATGTCGGCATTCGCGAATGGAAGCCAAATGTTTCAGGAGAAACGGCCTTACCTTTCATCGGCCTTATGGTGATAGTGAGAAGAAGCATTGGATTCTGTGAATTTTGTCCATTGTGTTTATCATTGAAATCTTTAGCACACGCCCAGTCAAGTACACAAGCTGGCATTGGGCGCAAAACTGCGCTGTATTGTTCCTTACTGTGACGTACTCGGCCACTTTACGGTTCGCCTCCATTACGTCTTAATTTTGATCCATTAACGCATGATTGGGGTTAAAAATGATTTGGGTTTACTAGATGTTTGTAGTTCGACTAGATTTCTTCGTATGTTTCGGTCCAGCTCTCAATTGAATAGTCCCATTGACGTCGTTACTACTTGTGCCTACTGAAGTTTAGCTTTTCTCTGAGGGAATGTTTGGTCACTCCGGATGTTTCCATTCCAGCCGAAACACTCCCCTACAATATCCTCCAACTGAATGCGCTGCACGAAGTTCACCCGATGTTTCAGTTGTTACTCTATTCGATACGTTTTAATATATTTTTGAGGCAGCACGCTACTCATAAGGTTGGTGATAATTCCTCAACAACCCACGACAGGTTTCACCTCATCGTGGGGTCTGGCTCTTATGAGTAGGGTACCGTGAAGAAATATACTGCAATATAAAAGTCGTTCAGCCGCAGAACCCTCTCGGTGCCTAACTGTCATGCCACCCAAAGGAAGCACGAGGGCTGTCAAGCCTAGACAGGGGAAGTCGAGAAAGGTTGGTTTCGAACCACGGACCTTCTGGTCAGTAAATTCGGGCTCTAACCACTGACTCATTTCGCCGCGATATATCGAATATCATACCGACTGAAACGTCTGACGGCAGCTGTGCAGCACATTCAGTTGAAGGCTACTACAGGAGAGCGATTCAGCCGATTTCTTGTGTTAAGACTAAGTAATTTACAAACGAGTGCATTTTGCCCAGTTGTGTACAGTTTGATGTTAAAGTAGAACATAAGAATGATAGAAAATCGCAACCTTATAATAAGTGTGTTCCATCGAAAAAGGCTAACCTTATCATTTATCAACCACTCTCATCTAAATCATTACGAACTGATTTTTCGACCCTGCAATTACGAAGCACCAGACGAGATAAGTTATCACGACACTGTATCTTGATGTGATAGCAAAAACGATGGGTAACCTTACGGTTTTCTCGCGTTCTTTCGCCCTCCCTCTGCTTGTATTGCCTTCGACGTCAGATTTATGGAGCATTCATACGAAGGGTATTTTGTACTTCCAAGGCGAAATTGACATCTGCCAAGTCAGCAAAAGTTCACTGATATCGCGTTCGTTGCAGTTCAGCACCCGGATACGGTAAATATTTTAGGGGCAGTACGGTTGGATGCAAGTGCTTGGGTTGGTAAGAAAATACTTTTTTACAGCACTTCGTAATTTGATCATCAAATAGTATGGAACAAATCATAATCTCCGATAAAAATGGTGAAATATTTTTCACCGTCCAATTGAAGCTAAACATACTTATTTCCGATGTGGCACATATGAGTTCCATCATCACTATCTGAAACACAGTTATCAATGCTGACAGCTGACGTTTGGAAAGTCCAATATTTCGTTATCCAGACAGATATAGTGAGTATCATTCTAATTCAATGTCTCATTAGCTTGCCTTGTTTCTTCTGGCAGCATCAGGTTTTCCTTTTGCTAGAAGGTTTTCATATCATTTTGTCTACAAAAACAATTGTATATAGCGACAAGGTTAACAACAGGTTTTCCTTGAACGGTTCACGGTACATCACGCTCCCATTGTTGTGTGACTGACGAAAAACTCAGATGCGTGGAATGTGGTGCCACACAAAGTTCATGGAGGTCGACCAGTGGCATTCCACATACGATAGCGTAATCTGTTCTGTCAGTTATAGCAATCTTCTGTTTGAATTTGTCTGTTCTTTACTCAATAAACAAGCTCTTTCCTTCAGTCAAATGTGGTGCCACACGAAGTTCATGGAGGTCGACCGGTGGCACTCCCACATACGATAGCGTAATCTGTTCTGTCAGTTGTAGCAATCTTCTGTTTGAATTTGTCTGTTTTTTAGTCAATAAACAATCTCTTTCCTTCATTCAAATCTCTTTTCTGTTCCTATTTATTTCCGATGCTACAGGTACGAACTGCCATGTCCAAATTCGGTCCCATTGCAAATGTCAGGTTGATTCGTGACAAGGAAACCGGCGCAGTTAAAGGTTTCGGATTCGTACAGTATACTGATCCCGCAGCCATCTCTCTAGCTATTCGTTCTTCTGAATCTGTTTCCATCCGTGGCCGACCAATCCGCGTTCAGGAATGGAAAGCAGATACCAAAAGTGGACGAGCCGAGTGGAAACCGAAGCCTCCAAAGGCCGTGTTACTCCACTCTAGTCCCAGAAATCCAATCAAAAGAACTTCAGAAAAACACTCGGCTGATGCTGATAGTAGTGGGAAAAAGCGCAAACTATTACAAAGGTTGCGACACGCCGGCCAAGTGAAAGGTGTTACTCTTCCGAGTAACTTGAGGGGTGAACAACGTGAACGTTATTTGCAGAAGCGCCTAATCAAAAAACGAAAGCGTCAAGTCAGGAGACAACAGCAACAGGCGCAGTCCAAACCGGTATCAGTCAAAAAGTCTGGGAAAGTCACCAAGAAGACACGAACTGATAAATAATCCCCGCACAGTTCCTCTGTACACATCTTCATCTGATGTATATCTTCTGTACAGACACAACATACTAGTCTGTTATTTCAGATCGATGGAGAGACTTCTGTTTGATGAGTAGATTGTGCTTTTGAACTCTAGATGGTTAGACTCGCTTGTAAAAAAAACGATAGCATTGGGGTACTCACTTGGGATATCCCGGTAGGTTGTCGTGAAACACTCAAAGACTAAAGATGCTATGAAGAAAAAGCCCAATAGGATGGTAATTTTAGAAAAAGCATCAAAGAGAGGGTACAGGGAGCGGCTTCACTGGAACCACGAGGCCAGACAGCCTTTATTTGAACTCATCAGAGCGCATCAGTCACAGCTCCCAATCGATCGTATGAACGTTTTTTTAACTACTATTTTTTTTACCACCTAAGGTTATATTGTAACTAGACACCTGTCTATCGGACACTAGTTATTAGCCGAACCACAGCCTTGCAGTTTCGCAAACGAACATCGAGTACAGTAGCCCCACCGGGTGGTATGTAGGTCGCTACACATATTTCCAAAACTCGGAGCAACAAATATTGGGTAAGCAGCCTTCGCCATGTTGGATCTATAATTATGGGCGTGGAGCTGCGCTAAATAACTTCAGTAGTGGAGGAACTCGATATAGCTTGATATTCGAGCTCGGTCCATAAAGTGGCTCTGGGGACCAGTGAATGCAACCTTCACATTCGGGAAAGTAGATGGAATAGTTTTATTTTATATAGCATCTCTGAATAGCCTAGAAAACAAAGTTTTGCTGAAGGGCATGATGTAGAAGTGCACAATGGCTTGGACCGTAAGTAACAACTGAAGCATATAACAGACATGCTCCAAGACCGGTAGTTTTAAATTGCAAGCTGTATGAAACGACAAGAAGCCGGTGGGCCTTCAACGAAGTATCCAAATGAAGTGAGCAGTTAAATGTTCAAGTCACTGTTGAAGCTTCCATATGCATATCGACCTTGGTCCCGTCAAGGTGAGGCGTGAGGCGAACAAATTGTGAAAGATGAGGTCTTCACTGATATGACAGCCTGTCCTTTTCTAGGAGTAATCGGGTGCATCTCAGGTCCTTATGCCAGTTGTCGAAGTACCTGGGCAACATGAGGGGTGCTAATTTTAATTTTTTTATTAAGATTGACGTGCGGATTAAAACAGCTTTTTGAGGTCAAATAACAGCCATGAAATTAATAGGGGGGTGGGGGAGTGCACGAGCTCGAACCTCGGCCATGTTGCGAAAGGTGAGAGTTCGGGAGTGGTTTGTCGAAAAATATCGACACGCTTCCGTCAAACACGCGTTGTGGAAGAGGCATAATACTGCAACCTTCAGGCGGTGACCGGGTTTAAGCGCAGCAATGATCTCGCGGACTGACCTGAATGGGCTTTCGTTCCACAAGGCATACCAATGTCAGGAATGACAAAGGGGAGCGGTCGGACTAAGAGAAGGGGAAATCCGTACGAGTGATCGTATTACGAGGCGTGGTGGTACAGTCGTACTGTCCTGCGGTAGGGATGCGAGGGCAGTGAGATACAGATCGTTCCTGAGTAGGGTACCTATACTAATCGTCGATGAATCTGGCGGCTCGCATGGTGGTTGATCATGGCCATTTTGATCTCTCGCGGATCTCTGGCTCGTATAGACCTGAATAGCCATCTCCAGACGTTCGAGATTGCCCAACAAGTCGGCCTGGACTTGCTGTAATGCGGCGAACGTCCGACCAATCATTGCGTCCGTCGCTGAGAAGTCAGATATACGATCGAAAATGCGGAAAAGAGAACGGCAAGCCTTGGCAAAGTCAAGGGCGGAGAGAAAATCACCCGGCAACTGACTGTTGGACTGGTCTAATTGAGCCGACATATTCGGACGCAAATCTACAAAACTAAGCAGGAAGTTGAGTAGGGATGACTAACGATCCAACGCTAAAAGTAGGACAAATAGATACAGATGAAACGAGACTGGTGAGCATTCACATAAGGCAGAAGTGCTGTAGTCAGACAAGCAAACTAATAGAATGGGAAAACGAATACTCATGGACGATATAAGGTTGAAGATGAAAAACAACCGTGACCGGTGATTACCTGAATTTCATGGTTGAGAAGAACGTCTTGTGTAGCCTGTTTGAACGATTTGAACGATACAAACTGGGATTGACGCTCGGGCTGTTCATCGTTCCGACGGCCGTAAGGCCTGCCCTGTCTGTCGGGAACCAAGTGTGCAGAGCACTATCTGTTCTGGGATAGAAACAGAGGGGAACGAAAAATGAATTGGTCATAAACCACATCTACGGGAGCTTTCCAAAAATCGCCCCTCATTCAAGAACTCAAAGGGATTCGGGACCATCCATAGTAAAAAGTAATCTTAGACTTTTTATGTCAGTGAGTAGATATGAGACTGGGAGACAGGATTACTATCAATAGGGAGAAAGAAAGAAAGCGTTCAGCTGTAACACCCTTCCGGTGCCTAGCTGCCATGCCACCCGAAAGAAGCACGAGGGCTGGGATACTGCCAGGTTGCCCAAGCCTAGACAGGGGAAGTCGAGTGGCGGAGGTCGGATTCGAACCACGGACCTTCCGGTCAGTAAATTCGCGCTGTAACCACTTGGGCCGTCTCGCCCTGCCCCAATGAAGGACGGGTTTGAAAACGTCGGCCCTATAAACCACACTGACGGTACAGTGGTTGACCACCAGTGTCAATGAATTATCCTATGCGGTGAAAAAATAGACAAACTTTAACCATGAGCCTGACGCGGCTCCTAAAGCAACCGATGTGTGCGGTAGTATCAGCAGTAAGGTATGTCTTATTCCTTGCGCCCTCAGACGATGTCATCCCCTTGCAGCCGAAAAGGTCAGACTGAGTTATCAGCTCCAGGTAGGGTCCACGCGGCAGAACCCTAAGTCTCGGTAGCTTGTGAGTCGGAGGATCCGGGTAGGATTCCGAAAACAACTCCTTCACTGCCTTCTCGGTCAGGTCTTTCAGTCAAGGGTGAAGGTGGTACCTCAACGATGGTTCCTTCCTCGGCTTGCTAAGCCGAAAAAATCAGTTCACCGCAGTTTTTCGTTCACTGAAGCCCACTCCCACCCTAAAAGCGAACATTGCTGTCTCATTTGATTGTCAGTTGTCTGGCCGATATGTTTTGTTCCCTTCACCTCGTGTAAACGTGTAACACTACTCTCCACCATTCTGGGGGAACCACCACGGTTCAGAAGTACTGATCTGAGCTAGCTAAGCTACTGTCTGGAATAACGACACTGTATTGGTAACGAGCACGTGGATGAATTGTTATATGAAGAAGCTGTGCTAACGGCGTTCAAAGCTGTCTGTTGGATTTTTGCGATACCATCCAGCGGATATCGTCGAAATCGTTGGTCCATACCAGTAGACAGTGAATACGACAGTGCACGGAAACCCCTCAAACGCCAAGCGACGATTCTGGAACTGAAGAGAACATTGATAGGTAAGGTTGAAAAGTCCAAGACCGAAAGCTCTGGTGGACAATGAAAGCGAAGGAGATGAAGAAAGCCTTTTCCCGGGAAACATACGCCGTGTACAACCTGGTTCGGTCGGCTGGGCTAAAAGGCAACTAGCAGTGAAACAAAAGTTGGAAAAAATGGCGCATTATTCTGAAGAATCCTACTGGAATAATGGACAGAGCACTCTGAAGAACAGCCTAGCTTACCTCCTGTAAGACGCCCTGGAGACGAATGGGATGTAGACCTTAATCGCCTGTCACGGAGATGTATGATATATCTTCCCTTAAACATGAAAGGGCACCAGTTTGTATCCAGCTCTATTTAGAGAAGACGAACAGCCTCTTACTACTCACCTGAAGTGAAGAGAAAGTGTCCGTGAAACGGAACACATCAACAATCGTCCCAATCTTCAAACAGTGCGAAAATGATTATGGTATTAATCTGGCAGCTGTGACATCAAATACTTTCTGGATTCGTCCTTCACAGGTTGAATGAAAACGAGAAAACTGAGCTGGGCTCCGTCCCGATTCATCGATTATTTATTCTCTCCGGCATATCACCGAAAGCACTGTACGCCAACCTCCGCGGACGCTTGAATTCATCACACCCATGGTGTCAAGCTAGGCTATCCCCTTTCCTCTTTCAACTTCCTCATCGATGGAGACGCTCTCAGCCTCTAACACATGTGGGGTCGGAATCATCCCAGAGCGTTCGCTCACAGATATCGAGTACACAGACCACAGCTCTCCTTGGGTCGAAATGCGTAATGTTAAGTAATCTGAATAATTCTGCCCCACTGTTTGGCCTGCAACATGTAGTGTGCCGCTGCGAGACTGGATGTGCTGGAACCTGGACCTCATGCTTGCGGATGAGCCGATTGACGCAGTAGGTAAATTTATCTACCGGTATAGCTGTATCAGTCTGTGGCCTAGCTAAAGACGATATCTCCATTCGGATCAAGAAAACCAGAGCAGCTTTTGTCAACCTGTATCATCTGTGGTGCTGGTGTGACATCAGCTTATCTATCAAGGGTCGAGCTTATGGTGCTTCGGTGCGTTCTATATCGTTTTATAGATAAGAAACGTGGTCGGGGATGTAAAAAACGGTTTGACCATTGGTGTCTTCGAAACAATGCGGAGTGTGATGCAAACACCGCATCAGTACTGATGACATACACGAATGGCTTTTGGAAGAAATAACGCCCTCGATGGATGGAAGGATCACACTTCATGGGTTGCGCTGGGTTGGTCACGCGCTCCGTATGCCAGTCGGCTGGATTACTCGGAGAGCCTTTCACGCACAACCATGCGGAGGGTGGAAACGAGCCAGAAGGGTTCAAGCAACGATACTGCACAAAGTATGAAAGCTATTACAAACAAACTCGACTGCACTGGTCATTCGTTTCCCTGGATGAGGATCCCGAGAGAGGACACACCAGTGGTTAGACGTATTGGCAGGTATCGCCTAGTCGCATGTGTGTATCCAAACTACTGCCTCCAAAAAGTAACTATCCACCCTTAATCTCTCATATCCTCGGCAGACGAAACCGTGGCGCCCATAACCACTGAACACGCACGCGATTTACAGCTGAAGATGATGGCGTCCGTTGAAAAAAAGGGGAGATAAATAAGCCAAGTAGATAGTTTCTTGTGACTGTCACATTATTGTAGTAGAATATAGTGAATAGATCTCACTGACGTGCCCGGGGTGCTGAAGTGTATAACCGCATTAATCCAGATAAACTCGTCTTTTGGCCATTTAGTTATCTCTTTCAAACAATTTCTGACAGTGCTGAGAATTTGCAGACCAGAATCTTTATTAAGGAAAAGAACAATAAATGTACACGTACCGTCACTGATGATAATGAAGGATGTGAGATGTGAATCGAGAATCTCTTTTTACAAAGCCTGAATGTTTTAAATGTAATCCTATAGGGTTCCGGAGGATTTAGATACATAGCGTGAGAAAGCACGCAAAAATAATCCGGAGCAAATAGGAAGTGCGTGGCGTCAGCAACCAAGGTAGGTTGACTAATCGTCCTCTGTGAAGACGGAACTGTCCGATGCGTCTTCTTCGTCCATCGTTTCCCACACTGAATCGCTTTGTGCATTATCCGCGTCATCCCGGTCCATAGGTTGGTTGTCGTCAACCTCTGAGTTGGAGACCTGGTCACTGGCACTGCTCCGACGGGGACCATCGTTCTCCTCGGACCTACGTGCTCGTGCCCGGAGTCTGCGTGACCGCCGATGAGGTACTCGATCCAAGGAGCCTACCGTGGAGTTTGACCAATCGCTACTCTCCGTGCTACTGCTAGTTCCATCGCTTCCTGAAGATTCGTCTAAAATTTGTGCAAGCTCATCCGCAGTCTCCGCATTCAGAAGCTCGTCGTCATCCTCATCATTGTCTTCATCGTCGTCATCGTCTTCATCCTCGCGGGCCTCTTCCTCCTCATTGTCAGGTTCACGTTCACCCTAGAAAGAATTCACGTAACGGTTAGTTCAGCAAAAAGAATTTATTTGAAAGACACCGAAGTCAACCGTACTCAATAAAATTTGGACTTAGGCTTGAAATTAGAAGTCACAAATTCCAACGAAATAGTTCTATGCTATTGAGTGCTGGATATGGGATGGAGGAAATTCTTCGAATGACTGCCCAGAAAAAGGCTGGGTCAGTTCCGTCCTAAACAGGCAGGTTCACGACCAGCTTTGCTATTCGTCTCAGGCATGAAAACAACTCATACTGTAAGGTAAAACCTGAGTATGACGGACGCTGTTCTGCACTGCCAATCATAAGTGAAAAAACAGATAACAATCGATCAACCAAGGGCCCGGTGACGGGGATGGGCGGATCGAACAGAAGATGGACCCGCTGGTTAACTGACGTACCCTCTTCCGGCCAACTGTGTAGATTCGACACTGGGTGATTGGCTCGTTGCTACTATTCTCGCCCACCTTCTCTACCAACGCCAGTGACTGACCAGTCGTATCCAAGGCAAGCTGTTCAATCCTGTGTCGCACGTCCACTGAAGCGATCAGACTATAGTCGAGTGCGTCCACGGTGCGAAACATGTTTTGCATCACTAGACGTTTATTGCCTAATTCCGCATATTCTTCATCGTCCCAGCCGAAGGTGCCTGGAATCAACAGGATAAAAAAGGCAGAAATTGATGAGTACGAAAGAGAATGTGGGCGACTTCAAGGTAGCACTGTCAACGGGTCGTAGCAGAGGCAATGTTCATAATAAGCTATTTTAGGTATTCTGAAAACAATACTGCAAGACATGAAAGAATGATGGACATTAAGTGATGTAAAGTCGCCACAGTTCGGAAGGATGAAATCAAGAATGAGTGTATACCACGACGACTCAATAGGTATACCCAAAGATCTATCCAATTTGGTTCAATAGCACACGTGAGTTCTCGGGATAGATGTCATGTGAACAAATTGACCATCGCAATCAACGGTTAACCGTGGGCTCCTTGTGGCACCGCGGAGATGGATCCTGTTGGATCATATTGTCGGCGCTCTCGGATGAACTGACAGGCGCAGAATGAAACACAGTAGTCTCGGAATGAGCAACTCTGCATTATGCAATAACCCCGCAAGAGAAATCATTGTAGTGAATGGAAATGTTTCAGTTATAGGATAGAAGAATGCAACAATAAACGAATTATACTAGACATTTACACTAGGGCTTTTGAGTGGTACCAAGCCAGCCCTACCTCTTGGTTGCAGTCACGTAGGAGGTTATCAGGTTTCAACTGCAACTGTCAAAGCGAAACTGCCGAAAATCAGCAGGGCAATGTGAAAATGTTACTATCTAATTTCTTGTATCCACAAGAAAAACATACTAATTCGGATGTGTTTTTAACTGCACCACAAGACCCCATTACCAGGTAGTAACCTGATAAAATGGAGCGAACTTTCCATTAGCAGCTGAACGGCATAAGCCGAATATTTTACTTTCAGTTTGAGGGCGAATTTTCAAGGATTGACATTAAATAATGTGATAAATAATATGGCTCTACCTTACTCCAAAGCTTTGTGTAGTTTGCTGTGCAAACTGCAAAAGATAGCTCGAAAACACTTGTTCGACCACCTTCCGGAAGTTCATAGGCCTTACTCACCGACATTTAATCCGGCAGAATAGCGCTGTTGAAGTAGGCAAATATACGGTCATGAGTTGGTGAACTACGACACCACATAGGTTTTGCTGTATGAGGTAGCGCTGAACTGTGGTTTAGGTGTAAATCTATACGAACTTTTTGAGCAGCCTAATGACATTGTTGTCCACAAAATCGGATACTGCATGCATCGGATAATGTGTCGCTTAGACTTTCGCTACCAGTAATGAAGCATTCCCTTTTTCGTCTGCTCTTCGTTGTTCATGATATTGAGAGACCGTTTTCGACAATCCGAAAAGGTTTAACTAATTTGTTTACCAGCAGCAACCGCAGTTGTATTTTGGACATATATACAGCTCTGTTAAACCCAGCGATTTTTGCTTGTTTCTGGATGACCGGCGGACTGAGGGTTCAAAACTCCCTGGAGTTGTGTGAGATGCGTACAGCTAATGATTCTCAATAAGGATGATAGCTGTACAGTACTTCTGGGCTTTTCATTTACACGAGAGAATCTCCATTAAAATTTCCAAACTTTCCTCACACTGCCAACAAGTCCACCATTGGCTATTGTTTCGAAACCGTCATTACCTCACGAACATAAATTCTGCTTAGCTCTACGTTTAGCTTTACGTGAATCAGTGGTCTGTGATATTGCCCTTTTGAGTAACAAGGTGAACAATTAATCCACCAGCTCTGCAACGTTTGCTTTCGAGCGTTTACTTCTCAGGACTGGATGAGGGAGGCGGATCTCACACTGCCTTCAGTAAACGGATAACGCGTCTCTCCCGGAGTATATTAAGCGCGTTCCAAACATAGTGCCTTTAATGCAAGGGGCGGTGGGGGACGAGTGTTTGGCTAGCATTCCACCGATTAGGTATGTAGAACTTTGTTGCACTATTCAGTCTGTAAAAGGGGCACCACTTGCGCAGCTATACCAACGCGTCCTTGGGTTGTTTAGCCACTAATCCTTGATAACTTTGGATACTACGTGGTGTAAACAAGCGATTCAATTGGGATTTTCATGAATCTACTGTTTATGGTTCTATTCAGCGAAATAGGCAGTATGGAAACTGTCACTAAGTTCAGTTATGTTGATAATTAAAATATCGGAGTACTTTTCCTTCGAAGACAATATTACTCAGATGTGTTAGCTGACACTGCGAAGGATATACAGAATCCAATTTTGTAGGACCAACGAATCAGGAGATTGATCAGTGTCAAGTAATTGATGAGGGTAATTTCTATGAGCCTGGATAACTTAAGTACCAGCTGAAGTAGATCTGTCTCAACAAACCACACTGTGTGTATTCTAGAAAGACGTACTCGTCAAATCAGACACTTGTCAATCCGCGGGTAATAATTTGGTCGCAATACCCTCTAAAACGTCGAACTCGTAGAAGACTTGCTCTGACGGGCTCAACCATTGGTCGATGTAGAAGTCTATTACGTCGACGGGCTCAACCATTGGTCGATGTAGAAGAGGTCTATTACGTTCCGCACTTGAGTCACAAATGACGGTAATAAAAGTGGTATACTAGATAGTCACCAGAACATACCGGCGTATATCACATCCTGCGTCGCGTTAAATTGGACTTCCAGACGGTCCAGTGCCTGAATCGTGTGCAGAAGTCGCCAAGTACGCACATCCCATACAGCGGAGCCCACAATGATCTCAAGACCGTTCGGATGGAACACACCGGAGACAATATCCTGCAACTTGTCGATTTTGTGCACTGGTCGACAAAATCCTCCAGGATGAATCGCACTAGTAGTTTGGTATGAAATGGTTCCGCTGCAGCGAAGATCCCAAACCACACCATCGTTCAAAACCAGCTGATCTGATGGGGAGAATGTGGCCTTGTTGAGCATGTAACCACTCTGCTTCGCCGCAGAGAACAGGTCAGCAATTCTAGCTCCGGTTCCTAGGTCAAAAACCTGAGTAAGAAAATAAGACGGAGTTCAGCATCAATTGTTGTTGGAAACTAGATTAGTGCCCTGGCGGATTTGTCCTATTCAAAAGAGAAGTGCACTATTTCGTTGAAACAAAAATCCAGCACAAACAGGATGAAGTAACTGGTGTTGACATTTAGGCGGATTTGTCCTATTCAAAAGAGAAGTGCAATATTTCGTTGAAACAAAAATCCAGCGGAGAACGTCAACACAAACAGGATGAAGTAACTGGTGTTGATATTTAGCTTAGACCACCATACTCAGGCGATACATTTATTTCGTTTACCCTAATCCACATATGGCACCACAAAATACTTCGTACGGACATATTATAGGACGCCGATTACCTGCAGACTCCTTGTGGTCCAACTGTTTTTAAGGGGCGATTAGGTTTTAGAATCCAACAGGTGGACAAATGCGCGTGAGTGCTAAGGTACAAACCCCAATTGTTTATCCTCTTGGTGGTCGTGAGTGCTAAGGTACAAACCCCAATTGTGACGTTTAACCTCTTGATGGGGAGGAGCGCACTCCACAAAGCCTGTTTTATCGATCAGCGCAACGATCAAGCCATGGGATCCTGAGATGCATAACCAAACTGGACCGTCGGGTGTGCATCGGTCTATAGTTTGCAGCCCCAGACAAGTAATAGACTGATTACACCGCCTCGTTCATAAGGCGATTAAAAGGTGAGCGAGCGAAAGGGCTCCTAGGTTTCGAAATGAGAACAGCTCTAGGAACCGAACTATCGAATAATGACGACAGGTCACGAATAGCGGCAATGAAATACATAAAATTACACGAAAATCTCTAAGAATAGACTCAAGAAATCCTTGGCGACCAGTAATGAATAAAAATAGTAGCTCATTCAACTACAGGATCTTTTTAACATTTAGAGAGCGTCAATACTTGCACACAGCAAGGTTACCTGCTCCGAGATAGTGACGATCGAGGAGTTCGAAGTGAAGTATCAGCTGGAGGCTTTCAAATGGGGGGAGGCTCCTGTTTTATACACCGGACAATCATTCATTTGCTCGAAGGGGGTGTTTGAAATTCTGGAAGACAGCACATTCTCTTACGTAAGGAGGCCGTGCAGCAAAAAAGGGCTGAATTCTTCCAGCCAACACATGTGACCTCGTACATATGAAATGACATACCTTAGCCATTTTTCCATAGGTCGCAACCAAGCGATCCTGAGTTCCAGTGTTGCTGAATTCCGCATGACGAGCTTCTGATACATGAAAACTGAAAAGAAGGAAGATATAGCTTTATTTAGAGAATGATTATGTGGTTTGGGGAGGTAGTCTCCTATGGAAATAATCTATCGTTTAAATTGTCAAAAACCTCAGCAAAGTATCAAGAACTCCTGGCAAAACGCCAGAGTCATTGTTATGTTCTAAAAAACGTACACAAAGTCTTCACCGACAGCTTCCCATGGACTATTGTTCGAAGAGCCACTGCCGACTGAAGACCGTAGGCGAGCAACAACTGTGGCAGGTTCGCCCCACTCTGAGCAGACGAGAAGCCGTTCACCATCCCGTGTATGGGATAATCGCTGGATTGAGGAGGTTTGAACGTGAAATAGTTCTATAGGCATGCCATCTTCTTCTACATTGACCCAAGCGATCGCGCCGGAAGTAGCACCAAGGAAGAGACCGTCGTCTGTGAGCTACAGAGGACGAGTTACAGGGGCGATAGAAGACAGAAGGGTGAGAGCGGTCAGAAAACGACGCGTTTTTCTTGGTTTGAAATTATTGGCAACGAAGTCAAACGCAGGGATGAAAAGTGCAAAAGACTTTCTTCAGTTACAAACAAGAAAACGACCCAATCAGAATGACGTTTCACGTCGCGCAAAACGTCACCGTACCAGGATGCTCACGAAGTATCTCTGTGTAGCAGCTTAAATACTGCAGTAGGCGAATAGCACATCACAGTAGCGTATACAACATCTTGATGCGAGAAAGAAACTGCGAAGTCGGACCGAAAGTACCAGTTATCATGAGATTAATTGGCCGTACATCCAATGCAACAGATAACTTGAACTCAGGGTGTTTTTACCACTCCGCTCACATTGGCACTGAAGAGTTAGTTGTTCATTAATATTCACGTGAGTAGCGCTTGATATTTAGGTATGACTTATGCAAAGTGAGACCAATCTCTCACTATGGTGAGAACTAGGTCCAATAGTGCAGGAAATACACAAAATTGATTTTACTCCAGCTTTCACGACAGTGAACACATTTACAGGTATTGTTTCAGCCGACGTTCATTACCAACGCCCAAAATTGACCAAGAAGACGACGAGTAGCTTACCTGACCGGACATGGAGAATTTGAGTGGGAGCACTTCAAAGTTTGCCGTTTGACTGAAGGACATTTCAAGTGCCTACGCTCTTGATGCAAAATATAGTCGCCAATAGGTGGCATCACATTATAGCAGTCACATTCCATTGACATAACTGGGCAGTACCAACTTTCTATCCAAAGGTAAGTTGTCCCCGATCAGTATACTGGCCGAGGTAGACACAAAAACATAATGAAGAGAAAATGACGTTACCGGCAACGTACTGGCACCGTGACGTACATTCGGAAACAGCTACAACATACCCGGTTACCGTTACGCACGTTACATGAGCAACTAGATATTACCGCAACCCCTAACTTTTATCCTTGGGGCGAAACCGCCCAAATATTTAGGAAATCCTGTCGCACCTGGTGACCTTACTCATTGAATCGGTAGTTATCAGACCGTTCGCTTGGCATTTTCGCGGACGAACAGAAAATTTCATACAAGCGATTAGTTCAGTTGAGTCGCGAATTCGCCACTTCTAATAGAGGGGGCAACATGTAACGAGCAACGACCTTCACGCCCACCTAGATTAACCTCAACGCGTAGTACGGACCACTGTCATTGATATAAGCCAGAACCGGCCGTAGGCCATGTACTTTTTCACTGATCAACACACAACCCCGCAAAACCAATCAACAGTCATGATAGACTAAGTCGTTCGATGCGAATCGATGCAATCCGACGGCTTATTCACAGGTTTGATACTTATTTGACGCGGACGCCGTAAGCTAAGCCCACACTTCACCCCAACTAACTAAGCTCCTTCAACGCCACTCAATCCGCTAATGGGTAACTCTAAGGCTGGAATAATTCAGGATTCAACATTGACTATTCGGCTTGGGTTATGTGGGCCTGATAGATATCAGAACAACGGGGGACGATAACGTGTTGTCACGCAAGAGTTTACAGTAAACTTCACCTGATACTATTAAGATAGGACAGTTGGTTCAGACTGCTCAAGATCGAGGACCAGAATAATAACAAAGCAGAACATATCAATACGTGAATGAAAAAAAGAAGCCCAAGTATCTAGCCAGTAGAAACGGCATAAACCATGAGAGTTCAATTCCGACATACATCGCGAAGGGTACACGGCGCCAGGATGCAAACGAATAGAACAAGGTTTTTAGAGGTGGGGTCAAACGGTTCATAAGCCGGAAGGTAGAAGAATAGTCGGAATTGTTAGTGAGCTCCGAAGAAGGCTATCAGAGCATCGACGACAACACCGTATGGCAAGCTAATAACCAAGTAGCTATAGACATAGGCGACTGAAACACTTACCGAGAAACAACAGGCTGTCAGAAGATCGTCCTCAGCTTCACGTATTACTGCTGTGGGTTGGAACCGCCGATGTAAAAAGTGCCGGTCCTCTTTTCGTGAAGGACGTAACCTGAGTGAGCCATAAAGAGATTCTCTTGATGAAAAGCGCTGGCAGCAATTGGTCTGTTTGTTCGGTCGAGGGTCGGGACATCGATGAGGGTGATAGAGTGAAAATTTGGGACACACGGATACCGGGTGTGGGCATTGGGCGTGTTGGTGGAGCAAGAACGACTCGACGACTTTTGAAAGGGTCATTTCGGGAACGGGTTGATTCGAGACAGGCTTCAGATAGAGGTTGGGGATACTTGGCCGCTCGAATCTATCCCGGTAAGGCTGAGGAATTTAGGAAAAAGAACGTTATATCCAATTTTATACACCATTGTGTCAAATAAGCAAAGTGTGAACGAACGTATTGAGACAGAGTAGGCTTATTGACCCGAGGCTAGATAGCTCTGCACAAAAGCAAAGGGTGCTCACTCACACTGCGGACAGACGAAGCTGGAAAGAATGAATCTAGTGAACTAAACGATAAATTAGTGTGTGACCACATGAACTCGTGTGGTGCATGCGTCGAGTCAATATCAGGCGTAATAGAATTGTGTGAAACGTAGTATATTTAGTCGGCTTCTGAATACCACCAAGATGTTGAAGAGGAGATATGACAGCATCCAAACACGGAGAATGGATGCAGACAGTCAGATGGTTAGGATATGTTTGCTCTTGGATACAGAGGCCGGTTTCGCCAAACTACAAAATCTACCAGTGTCCATTGTCCTAGAACACTATGCCCCTACCCAAAACGTATCAGTGGAGATAGTCAGCCAATAGGTATACTCGTTGGTCCGGACAGTATTTCATTTTGTTCCGTATCTGTACTGCAGAACTATCTCCGATCAAACCTTCCATTTTCCCATCTACTAGAGAAGTTGGATCTTATCGGAGAAGTTCTCGCATACTTCCCGTCTTCAAGCATGGTCCATTATCTGATCCCAACAACTAACGTCTCACTCCTATTATTTTTCCTTCGTCCAAACTTCTAAGACGAATCCGGTCGAACAAATCCTATGCGAACTGGTAAACAACAGACTCCTCAGGTATTACCACTACGGGTTCAGGTGACAGCGCTGTGCCGGCGACTAACTGGCATACGTACAATACGTACAGTCATCTGCCACGGAAACCGGTGAAACTGAACTGGTATGACTTGGCGTCTTGCAGACTTTCGACCGAGTAGGACAAGATGAGTTGATCGCTGACCTGCAAATATGAGGAATACCACCTGATTTGACGAACTGTATTGTGAACTCTGTGATACGCCACTCGATTCAAGTGCGCGTTGACAAGAGTGTCACAACCAATGGATTTTGTTCCTTTTCGTAAACTGTCACTTTCGCTTATCACCGATATCCTTCCTCCAGTTTATGGTCGCATCCATGGTTTTGAAGGTTAGGCAACCCCCAAATCTTGAACAATAATTAGTCTTGGAGATATAACTCACCCTGTAGTAGGGGTTATCATTTCCATATCATGCGTACGCTGTACGCCGATCATATTTGAGACTTGTTTGAGATTTGCTGAACACAATTACATTCAGCCGTACCAAAATCCACGTGTTCCCCACTCCCTCCGCCATCATTCCGATACGATCCTCCTAGTCAACTGCTTCCATCTCCTGTTATTATTCTAGAACCTTGTCATTGGTCCCTGTATACGCAATTAGTTGCAACGCGAGAATCTAGAAACTTCAGTTACGTTTCAGGCTACTGTATTCCACCCGAATTCCGTCACAAAGAGATGTGATGTTGCTGTGGTGTTACGGTTTGTGAGCTTCTGCGACCGACAGAGCTATTCTGGGTGGTTTCCGTGCGACACCCAGAGTCTGTCATACTAGGTTGGCCAACGGTTAGAGGTCCGACCAGAAAAGTCTCCTGATCCTACTAGTTGGTGGTTGGGAAATGTGTGACGACTTGTTCCCTGAAAATGGTATCGCACGTCCGTCAAACGCCGTTGCCTTGCGGTCAGGCTATTGAGCAGAAGGGTTGATGACCATAGTCGTTCTCGTGTTAAGGTGTGGGCACCCTCGCAGTATCCAACCTCACGTACAACCACGGCAATCACAACTAACAGCAATCCACTGCTACATCGACCGTCGCGAGGCGTCACCAGCCAGGTCGCATTCTTGCCCCATACAGCACAGTGGTTAAGAGAGAAAATGCTACGACTCACGCCTCGTTATAACACTTTCACGTACTCTCGCTTCCACCCTAGCTTATCCGATCTGAACACTTCACAGATCCAAGCACTAGGACTGACCGCTTTGTACTATCGGCGTCACACAGACGCAGCTTCCGCGCGTCCGACTTCAGTAACAACCCTAAATATTTCGCACTCCACTGTCAAGCACTGAAATGCGGCCTACTAAGCTACCTTTATTGTTCGTACAATGAAGCAAGCGGGACGACAAGTGGCTCTCGCTTGTACCCTGGATTTTCTCTGCATTATTGTACACTGCAAACTGTAAACAAAGATCCATGACGCACCCTGTTGCTGTCTCCTAACTTCCCACTGCGAACACCTGGTGATGTGGAGGTCGCTGAAGTTGACTATGCTTGCATGTGCGCTGTATCCAGCCACCGAGAAGAAGCGCCTCTATTTGAGTGGATGGATACCCGTTGATAGCCATCTCTGCACGGTTCATGTGGCAACATCTGTGAAATAATCTCGAGAAAGTGAGCTACGTTGCAAAGTTTTTTGCATCCGCTAACCCTCGAACTGAATGTATCTCTGAATCTGTGAAAGACAGTTTCTATGAAGCTTTAGGTGCTCTTTTACAACGGGCTAAATGGTCAGACATCGTGGTAGTAGACTAAGCGCTGCTGACGCCCAATTAGGTGGTTTTTCTAGGGTTGGATACCAGACACATAAACGGAGATGGCCTGCTTCAGATGTGTACCAATCACAGACAGATCGTTTGCGGTACCATTTTCGCCTCACAACGCGGTGGTCACCAAAGAACCGATCATGAATCCTGAGAGATCACATCGCAATCAGTTATCGGAGGCGAGGGTCGACCACCATCTAGAATACAAGCGCGGACTCCAACCATGCAACTGTCCACTGCAGCTTTTGATGTTGTTGATCTGAACAAAGCTGACGACATCGTCCTCATCTGTGAAGATGAAGGCGAGGCGCAGACTCTTTCAAATAAACTGACCACGTCTTCCGCAATACGCCTTGCACCCTCAAACTGCGAAGTCATGCTTCAGAACATCCAATCTCTGAAAATATCCCTTACAATTCAAGGAGAATCATTGGAGGTTGTGGATTAATTAACATATTTCGGTAGTTCTACTAGTCCTGACGGAAGTGCGCCTGATTAAGTCAGTGCACAAATCCCAAGGTCCGAAATTTTGCTAATCATTCAAGGAGAATCATTGGAGGTTGTGGAGGAATTAACATATTTCGGTAGTTCTACTAGTCCTGACGGAAGTGCGCCTGATTAAGTCAGTGCACAAATCCCAAGGTCCGAAATCGCGTTTGCTAATCTGCTTCTCTCCCGGCATAGGAGGAATGTCTGCGCGTTGTTGTACGGTTGCGAGACTTGGCCTCTGCTCACAGATGATGCGAGATACCTTCAGGATTTTCACCTTCGATGTGCAAGAAGTATTGCTGTGTCAGATGGCTTCAACGAACTCCTAACGAGGCGATTAGAAGACGGGTATTCAGTTGCGCAGCAGGTACTCCAATCGCGGAACACATCCAGCACCGTCAGCTTCGGGGGCTCAGTCATGTGATATGCATGCCGAAATGTCGTCTATCGAGACGAGTGGTGTTTTCCGTGCCTTCTACCGAATGGCGGAAACCGCGGGGTTGACAACGTATGACTTGGCGGAAAGGTGTGAAAGAGACTACGAAGAGTTTGGATGTAGTTGGTGCAGTACCCTTGCAGGATGCGGATCCCATAACGCCCTCTGCGTTCGGTTGGAGAAATTGAAAGAGATGGCGGCTGATAGGTGTCACTCGCGCTCGTGCTGTTAATTGTTTTCCAGATTGAGTGTTTGTAGGTGTAGGCACCTCAGAATACCTGCGATAGGCCAGCACCAGGTTCCTCTCTTTTCACTCTCTCTCTTCTTCACCTCTCTTCTTTTCACTCTAAGGTTTCAAATATTATTAGATTTTACGGCGGCGATTTTACGGCAGTTAAGCACTAGTGTCAACACTAATATCAGGCCCCAGTACGACGCTTCAGAGTAGCTGTTTTCTTCCTCATTCCACTTTGGACTAATCGGCTTTGGAACTTTCTTCTACCTCACATTTTTTCCAGATTCTCGCAATCATCAGATCTTCAACATTAGGGTTAACATTGTCCAAACCTCCATCATTCTCGACAGTTGTGCTTTATTCATGCACCATTTGTATTATGTTTCACTGTTTGTTTGTGTTTCAAACTGATTCGATTCATTTTAAAGGCTCATCTCCAGCGTCCAAAAGAATGCATGGGCCTTTAGCCTACTGTAACAGGGCGATTGGGTCATGATAAATGTTGTTTTTGATGGATACAGTCCGTTGGGGAGTAAGCAAACCCTATAAACAGATGGCGATCAACATCGTGCTTGTGCAATTCCTTCATAGACGCTGCCAGGCGAGCTCAAAGGAGCTGACTATCAACGGGAATCCAGCAAGACAAAGACCATTCATCCCGATGCCAGTCCCTTCACATCCTGGTGAAGTAGCCTCTGGATCGCAAGAGGTGCAAGGCTAGAAGAGAGTGGGGAGTGGTATAGCAGTTATATCAATGACTGTGCTTCGAGCCTAAGTTGCTTATGAGAGGTAGCATACATCATCATTGTGAGATCAATGACTGACTGTGCTTCGAGCCTAAGTTGCTTATGAGAGGTAGCATACATCATCATTGTGAGATCAAGAGCAACCTGCTGTTCCGGTTGTTTCAGAATGTGAACCATAAAAACAGCCAGATAAACTGGGCGTCGAAACTTGGATTATTGTGCGTCTTTCACGAGGGCACATGGAGGTATGCCTCAAGAGTATCAAGCAGGATTCAGCCAGGAGCGTTATATGCTAGAGCAACGGCATGCATCCCACAATCTCGTTCCTTCACTTCAACGGTGTGTTCCATTCTGACTTTTTAGCATACTTGTACAACAGGGTGTACACCAGAAGCAGGAAAACATATATTTGTACTCACTTGCTTGTGGGCGCGTGATAGCGTATGAGGAGCTCTCCGAAAGCTTTCCTACAAACAGTGGCGTCTTACAAGGGCACCCACCCTCTCCATTGTTTAGTCTCGTTATCGATGAATTAGAAAAAGCGAACTCCGGAGCGTTCCCAAAATCACAGAGAACCTTAGCGAGAAGCGCGAGTATTACTGGAAAAGCTGACTAAGGTCATTCGGTCCTTCGGCATAACTTCATACCGACAAGGTACAAAGTGATGCTGCGCAAAAACGAACACGTTTCCAAGAATTTGAGGCACAACAGTGGAAGTCGTGGAACTTATACGTATCTTGGGGGTTGTGTTAGCTCTGACTGTAGTCCAGCAGACAAAGTAAAAGGTGTTCACGTTGTCATTTCTTAGCTAAATCGCCTGATTGAGATTTGAAGGTATGGGTACCCTGGTTCTTTGCGGCAAGTTAACCCTATGTTCCCTCCTTGTTCCAATCCCTTCTTGTTTCAACTATACGGCCTTCTTCAAAAAGTGTATGTGGTAATGGGGCAGTGATAATGATGATGAGATTTGTGTAAGTCGTTGAGAGGTAAAAGACAAAATAAACAGCTTCCATTTGCCGTTTATCTAGGATAGATAAATGAAATAGAAAATCCTCTCCCAAGAAGTCTAGATCGTGGAGCAGCACAATGCCCAGACTGCGTTTGAAAATGTCATTATGATGGTGGCCTCATATTGAGTCGACGGTTTTCTGTAAACACGGAAGCTGGTTCGTGTGTTTTGTCAGTACCATCAGGATTCATGCGAACTTCAGAATGGCATCATTTCGAAAGACTCAAACCCACAGTGTCTACATCAAGAATCAAAGAAAACTGGTTTTTGGAAAGAACAGCTATTGCTGCTCGCTCGGTGTAGTCGGTAATAGTGACAAGAGTTAGTGAAGTATGAAGCCGCAATGAAAACGTGTTTGCCAACATCTTCAGTACAGCAGGCTGACATAACAGTCGAACTTATTCCTACCTTATCCTACCCAGTCATCCACTAAAGAGCTTCGTTGTTGATCGGGAACTGCTGTAAGTGTGGGTAGTTCACAAGTTTGATGGTTCCTAATAACAGATGAACCAAAACCCAATCGGAACAGCAAGAGCTGTGAAGGCTGACATCATTGACATGAGAACTTAACCGTGTGAAAGCCGTTCAATGTGAAGATAATCTTAAAAAAGGGATAAAGAAACAGAAGAATGCATCTAGGATGAGTAGGGACGAAATAAGAGACAAATTTTCGGTGCGGTTGTCACCCATGCGCGCTCAATTTGTAGAACTGCTTTTACATGTTGCCAGTCCGATTTCAGTGCCACAGTGCGTTTTGCACAAATAGCCAATCAAGGTCAAGGTTTGTTGTTTAGGTTCACCAACTGACATCCCTACTGCTCCGCTCTAGGTTTGGATGGCTTGGCAGTATCAACCTTTCTTCTGGTCCTACAGCAGTTTTAAATTGAACATACACCGTGGTTGGAGGGGGTAATTTGATTTTCAGGTGCGCAACAATAGGCCGCTCAGAAGGATTCTACCCTATCCTGCAAATAACCCATGACGGTAGAAGATACCAGTCCGGCAGGACATCCAGTTGTATTTAGGGCGCACAGAAAGGAAACTCACCTTCGGTGTTTGAATTGTTGGAACTGGTGTTCGCAGCTTCACGAGGCGTAGACTCGGTGTGGGCGGTGGTTGGTCAGCAACACTATCACCGGACGGCCCAGTCATCTCCGAAGCAGAGGCAACAACTTCCGGCGCACTTAAACTGGTATCAAACGCTTGAGAGCTTGATCCACTGCCACCAAGGTCGGATGCTACACAACCAGGTGTAGGCTGATAGGGAGGCGTTTCGCCAGGCGGTCTATTGAAATCATCGTAAGTGGAAGCTTGAGAAGGTGCGGGGTGCACAACTTTGATATTGGCTTCCTGCTGAAGGACAGTCGCTGTCCGGTGGAGTCCTATTTGTAGAGATGGAAATATCACTCATATCAGTGCAAGACGGGAAACAGCACAGTGCAAAGTTAGAAAAATGGCTCCTGGGTACCCCCCTACCACTCGAGTGCGTCAATCTTACAATGACCCACAAAAGTGCAAAATAGCACAATGCAAGGAGAATGACGAGCAAAGCTATCGGTACTCCGGCCTACATGAAGCCCATCAGGCCGATGAAAGTGAACATCTTGCAAGACCTCAAGGAATTTCTTGGACGGGATTACAATAAGTTCAGCTATCATTTATGGTTTAAGCACAGTTTCGTAACCGGTATAAACCGATAAACAGTAAAACATGCGTATTCCCAAGCATCTCAGGACTTTTTAACGCCGCAAACGAAAACCAAATACACACCGTAGTGGGCCATTACCAAAGAGAATACATGCAAACCAGAGAATAATCGATAATGCTAGCTTTTTTGATGTTCAGTCAGATCCTTCGATAAAACATTACCACCATTCACGCAAAAAATCCTAAAAATCCGATGGGTTTGAGATATTTTGGCACACTACATGCCACAACAAACTCGATAACGTGTGACTGTCCAGCTACCATGAGACGGCCCATCAAGACTGCTAACCACATTTAAGAAATTCAATAAAGTACCTTTCGACTGTAAGTGTCGATATATGAGCTCCAGCAATTCTTCCTGATCCCACTGGATACGCGTCTTTGCCACAATTTCTGCTCGTCGGACACGCTCCAAGGACATATCACCCGAGAGGAGGCCATCAGAAAGAGTGCCGACAACTAACCGTATAAGCATTGTTGCGTATCGGCAAAACTCGGCGTGTTGAGTCAGTCGATCAGGTAGAACCGGTTCTTTCATCAACACTAGAAGTAGAAATATAGATAGAACAAAGTTAGTGGCGTGAGCTCACGTTAGATTATCAGGCATTTAACTGGAACCGGAACGCGTTTCGATTTGCAAATATGATGAGCTAAACTGTTACAAGTGAAGCAATCAGAAGTCACTACTTACGTTGGAGGAGAGCCTTTGTGAATAATGGCATTTTCGCAAGCATGCTTCTAACTTCCTCCGACCGGGCCAGTCCAACCAGTCCTCGGCAAGCTAGTGTTCGAACACTATCCGCATCGGATATGGGCTGTTTAGTCTCCAAATGGAATAACAAAGCCATGATTCCGTGCTGGCGTCGAACAATGTTCCACAAATGGGCTTGGCGATATAATAACTGAGTAGATTTGTGTCGGCCCATTGGAGATGGCATGCCGGATTCCGAAAATGTGTTCGTGTTGTGGGAGGATCCACCTGGACTTTGGGGTCGCGGCTGTGATAACGGGGAAGACGGAGTAGGAGATGCCGTGTCGGTAGGCACGAATAAGGGCTGGATGATCCCCTCATCTAGGCGGCGTTTACGTGCTGAGCGTCCTACGGTGTTTGTCGTCAGCCGGTTGGGCGTCTAAAAACAGGAGAACATGGCAAATGAGTCGATGGATCAATCAAAACTAGACAGTGTAGATTCTGGAACTAGAACTGAATCTCACAAAAGTTCACAACCCACTGGCACCGGGAGTGCACTCGTCTTCTCCTCACACTATACCAGTGTCCTTGATTCCGATTCACTTCCCATAAAATTGACAATCAGAGGATTTACCCGTGAAAAATGCAGCTTCATATTAAGGTCCGCAAGTGGTAGGGATTAATTCGTTCTGTGAGATCAACACCAACCGATACCTGGTATGTCTTGGCAGTGTGGTCAAGTATTGTGTGTAAAAAACTGAACCCTAAAAGCTCACTGAATAGGCCGGGAACGAATGTATGCACCACCGTTGGTAGCGTTCTGTGCGGGCAGACGAATTCTCCGAAAGTACAGGCTTTTTAGCCACTTCGAGGGATAGCGATAACATAAAGTTCTGGTTATACTGGTGTGTACGAATACCAAGGCCACGGATCACGAAAGAAGGTTGTCTGCCTCTTGCAGAGCAATGACAGAATGCAATAAGAGCTGTCAACAAAAATAAACTGACACAGCAATAAACAGCCGACAGCATCTGCATGCCAACCGTGCCGATTTAATTCCACTCTGACGAGATGTTGACGAGAGATATTGCGCTACTTCGGCCAGTCACTTGTACAGAACCCTTGACATCCTAAAACGCGAGAATTCCATGATCAGTCGACACTGTGCATCCACAGCCATAGCACCGCATAACCGGGCTGGTTACTAGATGGTGCAAAAGTACGAAACAAGTATGCTCAATCTAATACAACATTTCCTCTGTGATTCCTGGTCGAATAAACTCGTTCCACCTAACAAAAAAACGAGTAAATAAAATCCAAAAGTAGAGGGACTGTTTTCGGTCACGTGTTAGGAGAATGACCTCTCTTCAAAGTGGATTCAAAACAAGGTTGCGAGTGGCAGCTAACGTTGTTGTGAACTCTCTGAGTTGCTACTACAAAAGCTCGTTCAGTGAGAAAATCAATCGCCCAAACGGCTAGCCAACTTATGATCATAACTCACGGATCATAACACATAACACACTCTAATATTACACGAATCTTGCCACTGAAAAAAAGCGTTCAGCTGTAGCACCCTTTCGGTGCCTAGCTGCCATGCCACCCAAAGGAAGCACGAGGGCTGGGATACTGCCAGGTTGCCGAAGCCTAGACAGGGGAAGTCGAGTGGCGGAGGTCGGATTCGAACCACGAACCTTCGGGCAAAAAAAGCACGAGGGCTGGGATACTGCCAGGTTGCCGAAGCCTAGACAGGGGAAGTCGAGTGGCGGAGGTCGGATTCGAACCACGAACCTTCCGGTCAAAAAATTCGCGCTCTAACCACTTGGGCCATCTCGCCCCTCTTGCCACTGAACCCACCCAACAGCTGTGAGACTCTATGCACGCTACAGGCTATTGACTTATTTTCAGACAACTGTTCGGCCTTGAACGTGTTCTTCATCTGTCCGGAACGAAGACAAGTAAACTGATGATCATACGCCACACTGCATTCATAAAATAGATCAATGAACTGTTCAGACCGTGACGCGTAGAATTACTCTGCGATCGCGTGAGAAAACAGCGACAGATGGAACTCAGCACAGTGTTCGAACATACCAAGATGTGTAAGATAGGAGGTATATACACAATAGAGACATTGATGTTTGTCACTGGGAGAGTATAGTTGCTACTGTCAGCAACTACTTCCAAAGCTCGAAAGTCCTTATTCAAATCAACCAACGCGCACTATCATTCTGCACTCACACGGTCAAGTAGTAAAGGTCAATAAACGGGATAGTAAGGGAAAGCAAGTTATCACCATGTGGGGAATAAGGTTTAAGTGTTCAAATGCGTTTCCAGCATTCCCGTTTCCTTTGCGCAGTTCAGAGATGGTTAGGTCAGGTAATTTGTGGAATAACAAGGTAGTGGTATCCAGCCTTTTTTGCTGAGTTCGTTATTCATAAGCAATGACATTGAAGATAATTGGAACTTTATTGAGACACCGCACCAATATTGTTTTGCGATCTTGCTAAGAGTCCAGTGACTAACCTGACGATATGAGAGCCAACCACTCCTGATTCTACTCGACTGAGCTGACGGAAACTAGCCCTATGGACGGGAAGTTGCACTTGGGGAAAATGCCGTTGTGATAACCAAGTTCTAGTATTATCACTGGAGTCTTGCAGCAGCTAGCGCGAGAGACTATGGTGTGACTGTTGAACGTACACCAAATGTATCGGCAACTCATCACACTGAAAACTAACCTTGAATGAGGGCGAGGACAGATAACTTGGACCTCGAAATTGTCCTGGGGGCGAAGATGTACCCAAACCGACTGCAGAATGTAACGAAGAAAATTGAACAAGTACTCGAGTAGCGGGGATCGGATTATCTGGATGTTCATGCTCGGTAATCGGACGATAGACGAGCGTGCACACAAAGGCCAAGACAGCCTTGTGAACCGCGACGTCCCAGCCATCATCTTCACGGGAAATGCTAAAAAGCATGCTGGGGAACGAAAGATTTCAATGAGACGAGGACGGTGAGATTTTGAATAAAGTAAAACCTAATGGTGCAGAGATTTTAAGCAGCTCCCAATTGCTAGTTTTCCAAGACGAAAAAGTGGTTATTAGCAGCAGCAAGTATGTATTTCCAGGCTGTTTGGAACAGCTATCCAGAAGAACAACAGCCAAGGGGATTACTGTCTTACCTTAGGTATATTATCACTGACTGGATGTACGACCATGGTGAATGTTGTCTAGTAACTCACTTAAGGAACAGATTCATTTGAGTTAAGCTGAAGACGCGCCATATTTATGTGTCGTGACAAACCAAGAGAAAGGCAGACTTAAGACAACGGTTTCAAACAGTCGTGGAGCAGAACAAGGGACCAAGTCAACTTATGTGCCGCATATCAAAAACCGAAGCGATGAAACTTACTGCAAGCCATTTACGCGCTCATCCACAGTGGCCTCATCTGCGTTGTTAGATTCTGTTCCATCTATTGCAGTGTCTTGTCCATCCGACCCATGATTGGCTGGCCCCTCACCCGAACGCATTCCATTAGGGCCATTTTCGTTACTTGCATCGTGATCACGAATTCGTCGCCGAGGTCTGTTGGGTCCAGTGTGTCCGAGGTCCCAAGCTCCGCTGGCTCCCGAACCAACCTGCTCAACAATTTCCAACAGCTGATTCAGCAGACCTCTACGTTCGTTTCGTCCGGTATTACCACTCCCACTGTTGCCAGTTGGAGCATTAGGTGAAGGTAGGTGTACAGTGACATCAGCCGATCCCGCTCCGGAGCGGGGACTATCCCCGATGGCAGTCAGTGGGAAAAAAAGTGGGGATGAACTCAAGAACGCCGCGGAAGCTGTGTTCATGCCTGACGGGAACGAATAAACATCTGTACTGGCTATTTGATCCGCAAGGTCATAGGTTAGCGACATAAGGTTCAGAATGTCCACAGCAAGCCGTGTGCATTCGTTTCGGCACGGCCAACTGTTGTGGGCGTAGACATTGCGTGCGATGATACGGTACAACACATCCACAGCCCCACGTTCGTTCAGCTGCTGGGTGGGTGGCCATAAGGTATCCGGTCGAATACGCGCAATCACCAGGGAGATCAGACGAGACATTTGCTCGGTGGTATAAATGATGGGCTGTGAGAAGATGGCATAATAAAGGCGAATACGTTGGAAAATGGTACACACAAGTGCCCATAAACTGCCTTTCGTGTATCAACACAATGCCTTGTGAATTTTGATTATGTGAACCTTAACAAAGAGGATGGCGAGGGTTTCCCATAACCGATACCGAATGATGACTTCTCTAATGCCACACCTAAACTTAACCAACGGCTGAACTCTTACGAAAGTTTCCCTAGACCGCATAGGAAAATAAGAAAGTAGTCAAACGCGGTTGATATTTGAATCCTAATCCCCCATATTCGCAAAAAATAGCGAAACGGAATATCACCTGGTGTGTGCATAGGAGTTTTTTAGCGGCTCCATCGGTGATCACAACTAAATTGCTTAGAAGTTTGAATATTTGAAGGAAAAGTGCCCGAGACGAAAGATACGCCAGAATCGACAAAGTGAAGGGGGGATGAAAAATTCGGAGTCAAACTTACCCGACAACCGGTTGCGGCGACCGAACGAGGGGGTTCATCAAACAAACTGGCCAGGCTGGGATCAAGTGTGTCAATCCACAGCAATAGACTGATCTCCAGAAACCGGCGAATAGCACACAAACTTGCTCGAACGACGTGCCAAGAAGTCGTGTCTTTCAAGGTAGGTGGCCGATCCTCAGTGAGACGAAGGGGCAGTACACAAATCTGAAAAGAACGGAATATGGCGATGACAGCCTCATAGAGGAAATGTTGGTAGCTCAGGTAGCGCAGATGGTCGTCGGCTCGTTCGCTGAGCTGGGCAATTCGACTGCAAATGTTCGATCACCAATCAAGATGACATCATCAGTGCGGTATTGGAGAGTGTAGTGGTACGTAGCGTAGCACAACCACGAACCCATCAATACGAACCACTACGCTCTCCAATAACGCACTGATGATGTCACCTCAATTGGTGATGAAACGTTTGCAATCAAACTGCCCAGCTCAGCGAACAAGCCAACGACCATGAGAACCTCATATTCGACAAAAGGTAGCCCATGGAAATATTGGACTGAACGGGGGGAAAGGGACCTCTGAAGGAATGCCACTTGCTCGTCCTAGAGTGACCCGCTGACGGAACTGTTTTTCCACTGACGACTTCGTTGTTATGGGAGGTCTCAACCTCCTCTAAGGGAATAGGAAAAGTCTAAAGAAAATGTGTGATACAGTCCTAAAAGTACTGGAAAAACGACGCACTAGCCGCAAATTCAAAATTCGTTGTGTTTCCGCAGCGACCCAGCAGATTTCTCAAGTATTATGTAACGTGGGTCTGAGAATTTCGCCTTCTATTATGGTGAATAGAATAAACAGATCAACCAGACTAATTGTTCAAAAATTCTCACGGTTTGAAGTGATTGAGCTTCACTAATCGGAGGATTACCCTGCTCCATCAAGAACTGTGAGACACAACTGTCTATCTGCAGGAGTGTATCGAGAATATTCTGCATGCATTAAGACAAATGGTCTCTGTGCCCACTTTCCCAGAAAAAAAATCCCGGTCTATTTCGCTCATTTCTCTCCATCGCTTCGGGTGAACCTGCGAGTATGGAGAATTGCTGTACATTAAGTTGGTGTATTCTCTGTTCAGAGTTCGCTTGAGTCCGATGAATATGTGATGTACACGACCGTCTGACCACTTCTAGGATTTGTTGAAACTTCCCACATTGTGTCCAAACCGGTAGTACGCAATCGGTAGTAATTTTAAAAAGATTTCAAAGCGGAGGAAAAACCTACCTTGCCGAAAACAAGCGCGTCATTCAACATCAGTTCACGCAATATGAATTTGCGCTATCGTGGTATGATCACCGGTGCATCCTGAAAGGGTATCAGACGAATACAACTAAAACACGAAGCCATACTGTCCCGTCTCTATCCGGAAAGTTGTTGCTTAGAATCTTCATCAGGATTCATAAGAGACGCATTGATGGTGATTCGAAAGGACGCAGCACACACTGGTTTCACGTCCAATATTTGCATACCAATTTGGCTTTTACGGCAGACTTAACTGAATCCCGGCGGAATCTCTCGTTTGTGATATTCTTCAGCTAAATGTTCTGCATAGTGACCACCTCGTGTTTCATTTGGTGCGCAATATATTTTTGGAGCACCATCCATATAGTTGCTGAAAACTCTTCGACAACCTTTCTTGGGGTTCATCACATGGACGCAATGTCCCAGTTTCCGTCAACCTCACGTTCTAATTAAACACAAATTGTTGTCTACCTGATGATCCCCAGGAAAGGTGAAACAACAGAAAATCCCATGGAAACTGATTAGACGAAGCAATTCATTGGCACGGTCTCGAATGGACCGCCTTGAGGCCGCCGTGAAATATGGAGGGTCGGTTAATAGCAGATCTGAATAAGTTGGTGCTGGTGATACACAGAGTACTCAGCATTTGCTACATGATATACGGCAACACACAGGATAAAACGAAGATTTCTAGACTTACCGCATTGAACAAGTAAACCAGTCCATTCTGTGCAGCGAACAGATCAAACGTAACACCATAACAAAGAACCAGGTTGAGAAAGAACAGGGAATAACATCGGGCAGACGGATGGGAACATTCGACCAACCAGAGTGCATATCTGATCAGATCCGACAACACGGAGTGAGGAAGTTGGCAAACCTGTGGATTGAAAAGCGTGTTTTCAGCTCAGATGCTTAATTTCCTAGTGTTCAGAGTCCAGATGTTCATGGAACAGTTGTGGAGTTGAGCTACTTAAAAGCCGCATAAACCAAACTCCACGAAGTCACTAGATGAGTGAAAAAAGGAAACTATCACCATCATCCTCAATTACAGCAACATTAGTGTTAACACTGATGCTTCACTGCCGTACAACCACAAAAAAGTTACTCCACTTATTCCAAGCCTAAAAGTCGGGAAAAGAAAAGACTGGATGAGGAACCTGCTGTTCGCAACTCCCAAACGCTCAACTTGGAATGAAGCCGACAGTACGAGCACCGCTGACTTCAATCACACGCCAGTCAAGAACGAACGCCATCCTGGAGGGCGGACTATAGTATCCTTCATAGCCATAAAAGGACGAAGAATCAGTGGGGCCAGAAGCCTTATTTCAGCGGGAGTCAAACTGACACATTTGTGGTTGCCGCATCCACTGCGAGCAGCCTTGTTGAAAATGGGCAGTATTATCGACTCATCCCAGTTATCTTGAACGGCATCTTTCCCCCAGTTGGGGACAAGTAGGCCAGATGGACACTGACTGAGGACTTCACTGTCATCCTTCAGCAGATCCGGTGGAAGGTCGTCAGGGCAAAAAGTACGATGACGTTTGAGTGGAGACGTATATTCAGACACTTCCGGAGATAAAGAGAGTTCCATACTCACAGTCCACCTCTCTGTTGAAGACCGGTCATCCAGGCTGGGGGAGACGTCAGGTAGCCCACTGAGTCGCTGTTCGAAGTAGTGTGCTCAACACTCCTTTTGCTGGATATCTCAGAATTGTTTCGGTCTCTGATTGGTCTCTGGTTGTCTATACGTCTCCTACCCAACCCTAGACGACCACCCGATTGGGCCTCCGCAGCGCTTGGTCTACCTTCCTGATCGTTCCCGTCACCGACAACTACAACGATGTCTGAGCCCGTTGTAAAAAACCACCTAGAGAGTTATAGAAACTGTCTTCGACAGATTCAGAGTTTCAATCAATTGGAGTGTAAGCAGACGCAACAAACAGTGTGCGATGGGCCTCGCTTTCTCGAGATTTTTTTCACAGACGTTGCCAAACGAACCCTATAGAGGTGAATATCAAAAGGCATGAATCCAATCAAGTAGGGACGCTTCTTCTCGACGGCTGCGTACCCTGGCATAATCGGCTACAGAGACCTCCGCATCACCAGATGTGTGCAGCGGGGGCACTCTTTTCAATTGCAGTACTCGCGCCATGCATCCTCGTTTACGGTTTACAGTATATATCAATGCACAGGCAATCCAGGGTACGAGCAAGAGCCATTTGTTGTCCTGCTTGCCTCATTGTGCGAATAGTAAACGTAGCTAAAGTTGACTGGCTTTCAGCGATTAAAAAGTAAACCACGAATTGTTTAGAGTTGTAACTGAATTCGGACGCACAGAAGCCGTAGCTGATTGTAATGCACGTAGAGCAAGCCGGTGAATCCTAGTGCTGGGATCGGCAGAGAGTGTTCAAATTGGGTGGGATAAGGTAGAAGAGGGAATAAGTGAAATCGTAATGAGGCGCCAGTAGTAGCATGTTTTCGCTAACCCACCCTGATGTATGCGGCAAGAATGCGACCTGGTCGGTGCGACGGCCGATGTAGTATGAGAGCGTTATTTACACGTGAGCTGGGATAGTGCCAGAAACCGAGAGCTGGAGAGAGGAGGAAGATTTGGGTCCTCGACCGAAACCTTTGAATCTTGTATTTAATGCAAGTTTACTACCATATTTATGGAACAAGTCAGTATACAGGATCCAACGCCAAACCTGGAGGACCAGGAGAGTGTGTTGCTCTAACTACCGACTAACCTCTTAAGAGTCGCATGGACAACCCCCCCCCCCCCATTAAGGCTAATGGGGTGCGGGGGCAAAACCCCCGCACCCCCCCCCCCCAGTATAGCTCAATGTGGCACGGAGGTGGCCAAACCGTTACTCCATCGGCGAGGTCGTCCATTCGTGACGCATAAGTTCGCTCAGCAAGTCGTAAAAGACGCAGAAGCTCAAGTGGCTTCATGCAGGGATTCCTTTATACATTTTGTAGACAATAATGATCGTTCAGCTGTAACACCTTTTCCGTGCTCAGCTGCCATGCCATCTGAAGGAAGCATGATGGCTGTCAGTCTGCCCACACCTAGACAGGAGCATTTGAGATGTTGAGGCTGGGCTCGAATCGGAGGCCTTGCGGTAAGTAATTTTGTACGGTAACTAACGATTCATTTCATATGCAAAAAAGAGGAAGGTTTCAAGCGTAATTTTGGATGCGAACACGAAAGACAAACGTCCAATAAATACCTACCCTTTCCATGGCGTCTTCGAAATAAGCTGTGTAGTACAGCACCACACTGACCGCCGTTGCTGCTACGGACGGCCTTGGGACCTTGAGAACGGCTTCCAATCCATGCTTCTCCACAAACTCCAAGTAAACGCAGCGGTGACACATCAAGTTCCCCAAAAGCCGTAGGGCTTCAAACGTAAGGCGGATATCACGTGCTGCTACCTCCGTCGAGATAAATGTGTAGATTAGGTCGAGTATTCCGCCATTGTACATGAAAGGCATCAACTGAAAAAAAAACAATCATTATCGACTTACATTAACTTTCCACTATGATAGGAAAAACAAACAACTCAAGTGAAGGCAGAAAGAAAACATGAAATGGTATCAAAAGATGTCTGTGTCATAAAATACAGAAAAGTATTATTACGCTGGATAAGGCTTTGGCGAAACAAGCTGCACATCCGTGAAACTATGGCCAACAGTTTGAAATCAAAGAGTAGATACATTTAATGCCAGCTGGATGCCTGCAAGATTGAATCAGTGGGCAGATAAACCGCACGAACGTTTCAAATGCGTGAGTACTGTGACCAAATGCTCAAAACGGAAGAGAAGGACTGAGCAGTAAGGGAACTGCATAAACTATAGACATACCAGAAACAATCCCTGACTAAAGTGTCGCAAATTCACAGCCACACAACGTTCGGTTCATTCAGTGTCGCATGATTACATGCCGAACAGCATCGCAATGTGTGATAACGGGAAGACATTCAGTGGGTATGTCAGTAGTGTGTGTCTGGATTTTCACAGCCATGAACGAACAAAGTAAAAAGACTATCCTAGAAACTAGACCCACTAATGTTAAAACCATTCCGAGATCAAACCAGAAACATGTTTGACCAACGTGCTGCGAATTCGGAGCTTCGCAACACTCGACCAATTTGGTTTCGCATGTTTTTATACCAAACAGCACCACAAAGTGCAGTCGGCGAACAGACATGCCGTTAAACGTTCCCAGGTGCATGAGTAATGTGCCCATGTGTACACAATCATAAAGGAACCATATAAAAAACGAACACTGTTTACCACAGCTAGTGAATGCCCCCACACAGACGTTAAGTAGGAGTAACATACTGCAAATTCGGGACCTTACAACGTTCAGTCACTTTGGTATCGCATGCTCTGACAGTGAGCAACACCGCAGTCAGCGGACAGACATGCTGCTTAATCCTCTCAAACGTACGAATAGTATGTTCTCACGTTCGAACCCAAACACGACCTAGATAACACGACCATTACTATGCTGAGAAAGGCTATTCTGCCAGGTATAAGACTACCGGTCTCAGCTTAAGAATGCATGGGTGCTCGAGCTTACTGAACACCGTCGGTCGGGTCTATGTGAGACCGACTATACAAGACAACCAGGGGATCGCACTAACCAGAGGTCGCATATACATGACCATTAACAGTTAATGTAGGTCAGTAAACGCTACTGGATAGCGTAGGTCATCGGCTGCCAACTAGTCACGCTAGCTCACAGGTCATTGTATGCAATTTGGATGAAACAGTAAACAGCTCAAGAACTGTCAGATTCTATTCATTTATAGTTTTATTCCCTTGAATTGACATTAGGCTGCAGGTTGCCTAGTTTACGAAAAAAAGGCTCAATGCCAACTGAACACTATATTGTGCTCGACAATCCATCGCAATACTTCAGCCCAGGAGGAAAAGCGGATTACCAACCCATTATGCATTTCTGCTGCAATCCGACTGGCAGATGATGACGCCCATGGTTAGTCCATCTCTTGATCTCCTTAAAGTCGCGAACACACCCCAGACCACCAACCAATACAATAGATAACGACCAAGTAGAAACTAGCCACAAGAAGATGGCGGCACAAAAAATACTTCCAACAGGATCCTGTGCACAAAAAATACTTCCAACCAGGATCCTGTATAGAAAAGGCGCCCGATCAACACGCTGCAGTCACAACCTTACCGAAATCAGCTGACTCGGTCTCACCAAGCTCTACTGCAAGATAAAGCCAAATAAGAGAGATGTTGTCCAATACTCCTAAATATCAGCGTAGTACGTAATCACATGAGCCACGAGAGCCAAACAAGGTAGGGAGAAAAGGTGCAGAGAAATCTTAATGTAGCAGTTAGGCTGGTGTCATAGTTGAGCCTCCCAACCGGCTGTGTTGTCGTGTGAGGATGTGATCACTAAGGTTGTTCAGCGCAATAAGAGGAAAAAGCTGCAAATAGCATTGTATCTGCTGAGTACAAACCATCGTAGATACTTTTTGAAAAGCATTAAGACTATGTACACTTGTCAAGACTGGTAAAAACATCGCCCTAGAGCGATTTTAATGAAGACTACACTTTTTCCCTAGTAAATTTTTCGTGGGGTGGAGGTGATTTGTGGCATCCGCTCAGTAATGCCTGTCTACGAAGGATACGGCAACGATCAATAACGGGAAACGTTACCAGTTGGAGATCCACAATTGTCTAGGTGACCTGGTCAGGTTTCAGTCCGCATACTTCCCGAGAATCGATTGGTTCCAAAGTAACACAAATACACTACGGGCAAACAAATTTCAAAAGCTGAAAAAAAAGTTCAAGTCATCGTCTCCATAAGTATGTGATCTCGGTACTCCACAAGTACCGAAACAGTGAACAGAAGGAATGAATATCTTGGCAACTGTCGAATAAGTTAAGGAAACCAGGCCCAAAGTCCCTGAAAATTAGTTGTGGACTTCTCATCTTAAATAAAGTTCCAAAATCAAACTTCCCAGCTCTGCCGTTTCCGTCACCACATCTTATCGAATCAGTCAACTGAATCTTCAAAGATCCATTCGGTAAATCTCACAGTTGGGTAATGTCTGGAGAATGTGCATATTGTGAGGGTGCCTCTGGAGTTCGATGATGAAAGCACAAAGGACAATCTCTAACTCCATTCGGTAAATCTCACAGTTGGGTAATATCTGGAGAATGTGCATATTGTGAAGGTGCCTCCGGAGTTCGATGATGAAAGCACAAAGGACAGTCTCTAAACTGACAGGCGATGAAGCAAACGATTAATCGGGGAGACCTAGGGAACACCATAAATTACCACTCACATCTTGATATTCTGCGATAGGCAATAAATAAGCAATAGACAGGCGGACTTTCATTTCCGTAGTCAAGTTGTGAAGGTGAAAGCTGCCCAAGAGATTGTTCATTCCCAAATCTTGTCTGCTTGGGGCAGCTAAAAGGATGTTAAATAAAATGGTTGTCCAGAGATGGTTACCTGTAGCTAATTCCCGCTTTAGCTGATCCGCAAACACTGTCAGTCGTTGCACAACTACGGGGATCTGAAATATGGTAGATGATCAGGAGGACGGAAATATAGGACGTACAAGTTGAATGTTTTTCTGACGAGTGATGTACAATAATTCAGTGTTGTCCAATACAGACCCCAGTAAAAACAAGGCGTAACAGTTTGTGGGTTCATAGTCGCTCAGAGCCAACCTGTACAAGGTATTGATTGTTGTATCCTAAAAATTTGGCCAGAAGGTTCACGAGTTACTATTATAACACTCACCTCATCGTCCAACGTGAAAGACAGTGTCACGCCTAGTCTCATAGCGCACAGTAAACGAGAGGCAGCCACAACGAGCCGGTCCGCCGGGTCGTTAGACCCAACAAGATAGACATATGTTATGCGTTCTAGAAACGCCTCGTGAGTGGAAAGTAGCCGGAGGATTTGTCCCAGATCACAACTAGAGTCGGTGCGAAGTGGATGGCGATCATCAAATGGATCTGGATCGGTGCTGAAAAATATGTTGATCTGTTCCTCGAGTAGTTCTGCCAAACTGAAATAAGAAATAGTGAATCAAGCAGAAAAAGACGAATGCCTTACCTGATCAACAGTGGGACAGGGTCGAAAGAAGAGGAATTGCGTTCCGCACGCCATTGGGCCATCAAATCCTCACACCGCTCAATTGCTGACCGGGTGGTCTGGATAGCCTCATCCATCATGTGTTTCCGTTAGGTCCGAAAAATAACAGACTAGGAATCTGATAAACTCGGATGCTGGTCAGCTGTAATATAGGAAAAAGCATCAATGATCAATGGGTGAGAATGAGTAAACTATCAGCTCTGAACACAGCGCTGAAATAAATAAAAAAACAGAAAAAGTATTTTCACTTCTTACAGTGGGACAGGGTCAAAAGAAGAGGAATTGCGTTCCGCACGCCATTGGGCCATCAAATCCTCACACCGCTCAATTGCTGACCGGGTGGTCTGGATAGCCTCATCCATCATGTGTTTCCGTTAGGTCCGAAAAATAACAGACTAGGAATCTGATAAACTCGGATGCTGGTCAGCTGTAATATAGGAAAAAGTATCAATGATCAATGGGTGAGAATGAGTAAATTATCAGCTCTGAACACAGCGCTGAAATAAAAAAAAAACAGAAAAAGTATTCTTCACCCTTCTTTATAGGTCAAACAGCTGAAAAACACATCGAGATGCGAAGCAGTAAGACATTTCAAGGGAGACAAAAGAGCGCTCATGAATATTCGGGACAGGTCATACATGATGACTATAGCCCACGCGCACTTCGGACCGTACAGGCACAACCACACCCCGCACAGCCCCAAAAACCAGTCTAGGTCGATGCGTACTATTATAGACACGCTTGCAGTCTTTCAAACTCAGTGACAGTTCTCCGGAGCACAAGTCATGCGAGTCCATTCTTTTCACATGGGCAGCGCTGATGAGGCCCATCTCTCAGGACAATCACTCCTGTGTTCACACGGTGGTCCCAATGAGGTGGAATGTATTTGGAAGCAAAGAAAGGGATAATATTGTGCCACATCCGACCGGCACGAGATTGGTCCTTCCAAGCCGTCAGCACGGCACACGAAAGTCAGATGATTCGGTCAGGCTCGCTCCCGTTTTTCAAATTACACGGCATACGAAAGCATACAGCTATTTATCATCGTATATAACCAGGATGATACACAGCGGCTTCTCATGAAAGTTCCTAGCACTGACCATTGACTATTTACCGAAACCAACTGAATCCAGATTGGTTAAACTTCTGGCATCCGATTTCATGGATATAGCCTCCGAAAGGCTTCTGCGGTTGTTGGAGAGACCAAGCCGCGTAGTATTTATGCGGTTGAAGGGCACCGATTTGGCCGAAACGTAAGGTGGTTTGAAATAAGTACAAAAGGTGCATAATTTGAGGCTCCTGTGTCGCCAGTTTCAGCGACTTTATAAAGCCTGAGACTTTCGATTGGTGAGGCCTGCACTAATATTCGATCTATCGTCGCGGCTGCGAATGTTGTTCGAAGACAGTACCAATAAGTGTTTGTTCGGATAGTAGAAGGGTGTATTGGTTGTCAGCTGATGCTCACGCATGAAATGTCCAATGTTCACGCACAAATGCTTAGGGTCCATTGAACAGGTGACGTTTTCAACACCGAAGTCTTCTGAAAAGTAAACACTGTAGGGATCGAATGCAGTTTTTAACTAAACCAGCTTCATTGGTTAAATCATCTGAGATAAATGGAAAGTTCGAGATAAATGAGTCGTTACGACGCGAACTCACTAGGCGGAAAACTCTTTGTTCGAATACAACCTCAGCATTCTGACTTTTGCTGTTAAGGCCTGGGCAACTTGAGAGTATTTCAGCTCTTGTACTCCCCTTGAGTGGCATGGCAGTTAGGCACCGCAAGGGTGTTACATCCGAACAATGGGATGAAGGACTAAAATTCGCATCTCAAATTAATTTATTGATGACCAGTCAAGGAGTGAGGTCGGAGTTCGTAGACGCCCAAAACTCGTCTACTGGAATAGCCCCTAAGTAGGACTAAGGAACTAAGAGCTCGATTGTAGATAACAAAAGGACTTGTCCGTCTATGGAAAAGTTGCAAAACTAACGAACCATCCGAAGTGGTTCAGGATGAAAATCTTCAGCTGTACGATCAGTCAGAAGCTCTGCTCATGTGACAGTCCTTAACGCTCGCACTCTAAACCACACTGGACAACAGACTTTGCTGGAATGCATGCTGGACTCGCTTTTAACTGATGTGTGCTGTCTGTCTGAAAGAAGGATTTAAGACCCAAATACGGGGGCGAATTTACTGACTGGAAGCTCCGTGTTCTAACCCAACCCCCGTCTCACGACTCTCCCTGTCTTGGGTAACCTGGAAGCATCCAATACCTCGTGCTTCCTTCTGGGGCATGGTAATTAGGCACCGAAAGCGTGCTACAGCTAACCGGTCTTAACGACCCCAGTATGTTTGCTGAACTGATCTCCCGATCGGCTTCCGCTCAGTTCTGGTTGCGCACCTCTAGTGAACCAGAAGCCTTTACGGTTGATTCTGCTGGGGTTGGTACTGTTCTCAGTCACCGACCTGAAGGGTCTCTGGTCGAATGGTTGCTCTCTGATAATCACCTCTGTGTGGTTCGTTTGGCAACGTTTGAGAGTACCCTGTAAACGTATCGGTAATCGGTCTGTACATCACATTTGTTCACGCCCCAACAAACGGTAGCTGTGATACACTCAAAAACGGCTTTGAGAGTCTTGTTGTGGCGGGCCCAAGGCTCAGTTATTGTCGTAATTGCAAGAGATGTAAATGAACAAGTAGGTGGCTGTCTTGGACAGAAATCGTGACGTATGGACACGGGCGAACGACGGCTGCAGTTATGCGCTGACGTGGAGACGCTGCAAGATATGGCTGCTAAGCGA